ATTCTAATAATTTTCTTTGATTTTGTATTCAATTCTCAAGTTTATATTAAATTTAATAGGTAGGATATATTGTAATTTATTATTATTTTTAATAGTATTTCAAATCTTATATGATTTTATATAATTCTATTCAATTTCAATTTTCTGAATTATAATCAAATATACAAGTATTTATTAAATTGCTTATAGTTGATTAATAAATACCAATAATTATTTACTATATTAACTTGGGTTTTAGATATTATATAAGTATATTATATAATCTAGATATTCTATAGAAATAGATAATATTGAATATTTCAAATTCCAGATATTTTAAAAAGATATACTGTAATTTGAACTATTGTATTTCAATTGCAATGTTTCTTATTTTGTGTCACTCTGTATCACTTATTTGGCACATGATCATATTCTTTTTAGTTATATTAATCAGATTTAAACTGTTATTTGAATATTAGTAAGTAAATAACTAAAACCTATTTCAGTTGTTTATTGTATTGTTTTGATAATTATTAATTGTTAAAAAATACTGGAATCTGCACAGTGCACTGGTCATGTGCCTTAATCCAGTAGATTGTTGTGTTGTTGTGATGTAAATATGTAATATGGAATGTGATTAATGTTTTGTGTATTGTAGATCTTTTGATAGGATAAGTAACAAAATAGTTTATACATAAAGTCTTTTACCATTATGTTTTTATTTTAAAGATTAAATAAATATAATAAATAATTGTTTGATTATAGAAAAAAAAAATAAAAGTTAAATTGAATCTTTTACATTTGTAATTTTTATGTTTTAATGTAAATAACAATATAATATTATTTTCTGAATCTTAAGCTTTTCAAGTGATTTAGATTTTAAATTTTTCAAATTTAAATAAATCAAAAACATTAGCTTGAACAACGACCGAGGGTTGTTTCTGTGCAGCCTCAGGATGTTGAGTTTCCTCATGTCCATTATATTTAACATCTTACTTAAGCGTCGATTCCAATTGTTTTAATTGAATTAGCAGTGCGTCCGTTTCCCACTCTCTCCGCAATGGCATACCATCCCATGCTTCCAGAAAGAACCAAGGAGGTTACTAAATTGTCCTCCTCCGGTGTAAATCGACTCTTATTAACTAATAGGCAATTAAAGAAACTTTTTTAAAAACCATTTATTATATTACTAACAAGATGCCAAACACATATTACTTACCTCCTGGCATAAGGTGATTACACCATCTTTTAACGTGGTTATAAAAAGGGGATGACCTGTCAAATTCACATATAATACAGACACGAACGAAAGAAAATTCCTCATACCTCTCCCTGCATTGTTTTGCATCTCGCGTGCCGACATGATACGAGGCTCTTTTCCAGTTTTTGCCACCATTTTTTTCAACGAATTTCTTCAATTTCTCAGTCTCCTGGTTTATTTTTTTTAATAAGACAATTTTGAAAGTAAACAAGACATAGTGATTATGAAGATTTTCATTATTATTTTTACCTCCACTTTAAATATGCCAAGTTTATACTTCCTATTATTATATTTAGGCATGTTTGTATATTTGATGTATCGAATACAATGGATAGTTTTGTTCTCGAAGAATGGTAGTCTACTCTTATATAACCAAATATGTTCACGTGATTTGCTTTACATTATTCCCGTTCCATATAAAAATTTTTTTAGACTAGATTCCTTTGTTCGCACAATTTTTTTCTTAGACTAGATTCTTTTGTTCGCAGAATTTTTTTCTTAGACTAGATTCCTTTGTTTGCACAATTTTTTTTAGACTAGATTCCTTTGTTTGCATAATTAAAGTTTATCTTAGAAGTAGTACATGGCAACAAATATCGGAGTTCCAATCCGTCATAATATGGGTACATGTATATATGGCCGGAAAACCTTTCTTAATGCATTATTTAACAATATACTCAAACACAATAATCACAGGACGGTTTTACGAAAACAAATTCTCAATGGAAATGCATTGATTACTTATGGGATCCGCACGAAAAGTTACTTGTAACGTTCTTTCGGTTTTATATTGAAGTAAAAACCAACGTTTTACAAGCAATTTATGGATAAAACCGAGTGTGCATCATATTACTCGATAGTCTTCTAAAGTTGAAACTGAGCAGGCGCATGTTCGGGTGCGTAAAATTGGATAAACCATGAAAGCTAATTTTATTAATAAGAACTTTTCATCCTACGAGAGTAATCGAAATGATTTGTCAGCGTTCTTGGTTGCTTTTTTTATTTGAATAATTCATGTTCATGAACTGAAAGACAAATATCGGAAAAGGAGTCTTTAAGGTTTTGAAATCGCGCTAAGAAATTTAGCTAGGAAAGGATTTCAGAAAAAACCTATATTTGATGACAGTGATAGGTGCATTCTCATTCCGACAGTTAGAGTGTAAAAAAACAAATTATCGCGTGTTTAAATTGCTATCTAGAAATTTAAAACAAACGAAAATTGCTAAAGATATGAATTTAAATTGCTTTCGTCAAAACAGTACAGTTTATGAGACATTGGTTACAAAATACAGAATTATTATATTATTACTGTATATGAAACTGACAATTAATTTTGATAAAAATATAATTAACTTAAAATATAATTTTTTTAATTTTTTAAAAAAGGCGAGTTATCTATTTTTAAAAAAATATATACATATTGAATATACTATACAGTAACTAATTTTTAAAGTTTATATAACAAATAATTTTAAAATCTATTTTAAAAGATTTTTAACTATAATATATCCAATAAACACCAGTTCAAATAATGTTATTCAATTGTTAAAACAGTCAAATATATTTAATTTATTAATAATAATACATGTTGAAGTTTTACTGTTGGTTTAATTTATGTTATTTGATGTTATTATACAGTATATAAAGTTTATTAATAATTTGATTATAATTATAAAGTGTTAATAAAATTAAATTTGATAAAATTACAATAACAATAAAAAAGACCTATGGATTAATAGTACAGTAGTCAATACTTCCAGGTCCAAATTACAAGATACCAATTCAACTTTATGTGAAAGCAGTTAAGTCAAATTAAAAATAACATCTGGTATTATAACCTATTATGTATTGTTTCCTATATGAAGCTGTTTCTTATGCTGATTCAGCAAGCATTAGAATTGTGATATTGAAAAAGGTGTTGTAATATAATAATCATCTGATTGGTGTTACAATAATCATCATAAAGTCTCTTTATATATACAAAGGGTGGACAAAAGTTTATGAACAATTTTTTTTTTAAAATAAAATTTAATTTAAAAACTAATTAAATTTTTTTAATAAAAATATACTCAATATAAGTACAATGTATTCAATTTATAAAAATATATCATTATATAAAAAAATTTTTTTTTATTTACTTGAAAATTTCACTTCAATTTTTGCGTAACTGCTAATTTCTGCTAATAAAGAATTAACTTCTGAACAAAAAGCAGCCATAATTTATAATTACAAAAAAAAAAATATCTATTGTAATATTACAGCCAATGTTGGATGCAAAAAAAGTGTGATGGGTAATATTATAAAGTATTTTATTGAAACTGGATTTACAAAATCATGAACACAATGATTGGTATAATCGAAATGACCATAATTCCTCAATAAGCATGCTTGTATCACTCTAAAAAAACTTGTTACTGGCAAAAAAGGTAACAGACATATTACTACTGCAAAATTAATCAATCTTTTTAAAGCCAAAATGGAAATTAAAGTATCTGAAAAAACTATCTGTCGAACCCTGCATGAAGAACAGTTAAGAAGCTGTATTGTCTGTCCCAAGCCCTTCCTTTCAGAAAAAAATATTGAAAACCAATTTACCTGATACCTTGTACGTAAAGACTGAACCATTTGAAACTTTAAAAAAGTAGTCTGGAGCGATGAGTCTATATTTACTCAATTCTTGCAAGGGAGTAAATATCATGGTTGATATAGTTCATGTGAAGAGTGAAATGCTAAATAGTGTTATAAATCGTTAGTTGAAAAGTTCAAAATTAACCAATCAGAATTCAGAATTTTTAGTTGCAACTAGTTGATTATATTTAAAACAACTAATTGATT